TATTTTCAACATTAAATACAAAAGCAAATTTGCATACTAATGAAATGAATGTGCTTGTTTATGTTCACATAAAGAATTAAATCTTGGCTGAATATTTGATGCTGCAGGATATGGAACAACTTCAATGCTTTTCACAGTTGATTGATATTTTGATTTTATAATCAGTAATGTTGAGAATACTGGTTTGCATAAACACATAGTACAAAATGGCATAAGGAAGTTTAGGGCCATTTCAGAAATCGCTGGAAATTCTTTCCTAATCTCCAGTCAAAATTCATTTAATGTTTTTTTTTCAATTAAATTCAAGTCAGTAACTTAAGTAGAAAATTTTTGTTGTTTTGAGACAGCAGGGTTGGCTTGGAACTCACCACGTAGACCAGGTGGTCTTGAACTCAAAGATATCTGCCTGCCTCTGCCTCTGCCACCAGGACTGGCTCAAGCAGTAAGTTTTAAAATCAAACATTTGAACACAATATAAACCAAAGACAAACAAATTCAGTGCTGACATGCTGAGCAACAGCAGTAGGAAGATATTAGATGCTGTTGTTTTCCACAATTAACGCATTATATAGTACACAGCAAGACACATCATCCAGCAGTTTCCTGTCTGAACTGAGGTGTTACAGGCATGTGTGGGAGATGGCAGGCCATGCAAAGTGCAGGCGCTGTGTGTTCAGAGCCAAGGCTGCAGTGAAGCCCATGTATGATATAGGGCAGACGCTGTGTGTTCAGAGCCAAGGCTGCAGTGAAGCCCATGTATGATATAGGGCAGACGCTGTGTGTTCAGAGCCAAGGCTGCAGTGAAGTCCATGTATGATAAAGGGCAGATGCTGTGTGTTCAGAGCCAAGGCTGCAGTGAAGTCCATGTATGATATAGGGCAGACGCTGTGTGTTCAGAGCCAAGGCTGCAGTGCAGCCCATGTATGATAAGGGCAGGTGCTGCCACAAACACTTTAGGCTCACTGCATGTTTGATTTTGAATTAATGTTTGGCTTCATGTGTGCAAAAACCTCTTAGCATTACCAGAGTTTTCACGGTTCCAATATTCAGTTATTGACCCCATATAGAGCTGCAGTTCACAGCCGAAGGAGGGTGCTAATTGCAGGTAAAAGCAGCATACTCACTGTCTCCCAATTAAAACAAGGCATCCCCCCCCCCACAGCATTTGAAAAAGCCAGCAAGAATCTCCAGGTGTGACTCCTCCTGAAGCCCATGTAATTGAGCACAGATTCAACTCAGGATAACCATGTGTAAACCACACAGAGTCTGATCGATAACACGGGGAGGGATGGGATGGGGGAACCCCCCCCCAAAAAACAAAACCTGGCAATCTTGTGCTTGATTTCTTGGAAACTGATTAGTACATGAAAGGCCTCACTCACCATCAAAGAGATAAAAGGAAAAGATTCGTTTCCTGTGTGTAGTCTGCTTTTAGCTTGAATGTCACTTCCAGGAAGCCTTCCCTGCAACCGAGAATCTGATTAATGGCCTCCTGCTATCACTGCCCAGCTCATGCCTAGAGTTTAATTACTTACCCAAGTCTCTCGATAGTCTGTAAGACTCAGTGGGGAGGCACCAGCTGCCTCTGTAATCGTAGGCCCTGGGGCGGGGGGGGCATGACTGGCTGGTGGGAGAGTGAGCAAGGCTGAGCTCAGTAGTATTGTCAGGGACAGACTCCAGCAGTAGTTCTCAGTCTATGGGTTGTGACCCCTTTGGGAGTTGAATGACCTTTTCACAGAGGTCACCTAAGACCATCGGAAAACCAGACGTTTATATTAAGATTTATAACTAGCAGAATTATAGTTATGGAGTAGCAACGAAGACAATTTTATGGTTGGGGGTCACCACAACATGAGGGACTGTATTAAAGGGTCACAGCAATAGGAAAGCTGAGAACCACTGGACTATGCAATGGTGACGTCACAGGCTGAATTTCTTGGCTCCAATTTTTACTAGTAGTGTGAAGGTAAAAGGAGAAACCATGGAACTAGAAAAGTTATGAAATGGCAGTGAGAAAGAGAGAGAGAGTAGCAGTCACCATTGAGGAGATTAAAGGAAAAATACAAACCAAAAGTTGATCAGACTCGGGATTTGGCCTAATTGCCTTTGTTATTCAACGGGCCATGGTGGAGGTTCTTCTCCTTTGACTTGCTTTGTTTGTTTTGTTGAGACAGAGTCAAGCTGTCTTACTGTGTAACTGAGGCTGGCTTTGAACTTGTAATCCTCCAGCCTCAGACTCCTGGGTGATTAAATTATAGATATGGGCCACCCTGCCTAGCAATTAAAGCAATTTTTAATACCCAGTTAATTATTCTAAGAAATGGAACACAGGATTTGTTTCCCATCCTATCTCTCTTCATACACTAGTAATCAAATTTTTGCCATTTATGAGTGGCTATTAAAGTGCCGTTAAGCAGATATCCTTGACCATCATTGGAAAATTCGAGATTGTATATGCTGCAAAAGGAGATGAACCCACATGGATTGTAACTCCGTTCCAATTTCTTAGTTCAACTAAATGAAAGCGACGTCTTCTGCAATAATGTGAATAGTTTGAGACAAGTTTAAAATGGCAGGTTCTGCCCAATTTCTTGGAAAAGCTGTCTTTCTTCCAGATGAAAGGCAACAAAGTATGAGAAAAGGCACCCCTTCCCCCCTTGGGCTTTCTATGGGTGAGCCAGCAAAGGCACCTGCGGCCGAGCCCGACCTCCTGAGTTCAGTCCTTGGTTCTCAGCGTCATGGACTCTACACGTGGTCCTCTGCCCTCTCTCTGTATGAGTGTCATGCAGTGCTGTGGTGCACCAGTGAACACACACAAAATAAATGTACAAAAAAAATTCCTCAAAGGGTGGTTGTTGTGTTGCTTCGGTTGGCTTCTGAAGTTCCCCATTAACTTGTCTAGGGAGACTGCCTGAATGTATATAGTTTTCCTGAATGTACCACGCCAGCCCATAACCACAGCACACATGTTTTCCTTTCTCACCTGGCATTTGTCTCTGCTTAGAAAATGTCTGCGAACACTTTCACTTCCTTCATTTACCAAGAGAAAAAGGTAGGGAAAGTGGAAATATGTGTTTCTAATATTCAGCTAGTCATCATAAATCTTGTCAGTTGCTAAAGATGCAAGGAGAGATACAGAGTACTAGGAGGTTCTGGGATTGAGGAGACTCTGATTTCATCATTGTTAGTTGCCTAAATAACTATTCTTACCTGCCAAATCCTTAAGTTTCTCTGTACATAAAACAGGGATATCAGGAGAATGGCTGGTTGTATTGTTCAGTGTTTTAGATAGTCCCACAAAACACTGCTTGAAGAATATTTCTTTCTAATCGAATGGCAACAGTTCTTTTCCTCTGTACGAAGCAATGAGCTTGATCTGTTATTAAGAGCACTGGATAGCAAGACCTGGAATGTTCATGCTTATAGGAGAATTTTTGTAATTCAACCCAATCATGTTTCAGACATTCCATCTGGTATGTGCTCCATCTTGATTGCTTGTGTCTACTATGAGGTTTATTGATGGGCTGCTAATGGACAGTGTTTTTGTCATAGCATACAGAGAATTTAGCTCCATTTCTTTTCCCAAAGTAGAAAGCATAGTTGCCATTGGGTATTGTTTCCCTTGTGCTCCAGCCGTGTCCACAGCTATTCTGTGTACTTGCTCTAAACTGGTTTGGAGCCTGGGGAATAGGGAGTCTCACTTTTTACTTTTAAAACAGTTCAGGAATGATGGAAAGAAATCTCACTACAGGAGAGTTGATGAGAAACTGTAAAAGTTATGATCCCTTACTCTGATGTCATCTGCTAGAGTTTTCCATTTTTGAATTACTGTCTTCTGATAAGGGTTTATTTATTTCCGGGCGGTGGTTGTGCACACCTGTAATCCCAGCACTATTGAGGCAGAGGCAGTTGTATCTCTGTGAGTTCTAGGCCAGACTGCTCTACAAATCGAGTTCCAGGACAGACTCCAAAGCTACACAGAGAAATCCTGTCTTGAACCGCCCCCCCCCAATAATCTATTTATTATCTTGGGATTTGGCAGGAACAAGGTTGGGAGGATTATAGTGACAGTGCGGATAACTCATCCTTTATTTATTAGCTGTGTAACCCTGGGTAAACTCTTTAACCTTTGAGTTCATATATGAGAAATGAGGATTAACATATGATAATAAGATGCAATTAAAGATCTTAACACCTACTTAGCTTTGTAGAGGGTAAATACCTAGAAGGTAATGTGCACAAGGGTAGTTAATTATTAGCGGCCCCAAATGGGCAGACTACTCACTCGCTCACTCATGCTTTCTATAGATGTTCATCTTATTTGGGTTTGAATCCAACCTTAAACTTTAAAAATTGGTGATAGGACATCTGCTCAAGAGAGAAGGGAAGGCACCCTACAGTGGAAAAATCAGGGACACTAGCACTGGATAGAGAGCATTTAAATCCTAGTCATATTTCTTGCTTCTAGTTGCTCCTGTTGGTCCTCTCTGCATCTCTGCCTCCTCCTGGGAATTTGGGATAAGGATGTTCTTCACTGGGGCTGGCAGTGAGATGCTTGGAACGGCGGGCCTTGGAAGCTATGGTTGGATTAGAGCCAGGACCTGTCACCGCTCCTGGGACGCCAGGAAATGGAACCCAGAACTAGAAGGAAAGGCCACGGTGGCCAGGTTGCACGCCGTTGACTCACTGGGGCCTTTGTTGGCTACTGGGGCTGTAGGCGCTCAAGCCCGAAGGTGCAAGTCAGATGTGGCGGCTGCACTCCAGCCCGGGCCGCGCGGCACTGATGCAGGGGAAAAGGGCTGGGGAGAAATATATAGCCTGCTCGATTGCGCCGCTAAGTGACAGGCCCGTCGGCCACTGGCAGCGGCGGCGAGCCGCTTGGGGCGGTGGCAGCCAATGGCTGGCGGGGACTGGGGCAGGGACTGGTGGGGGCCGGCCCTGGGGAGGGCGGGGCGCGCGGTCGGCGGCGGCAGAGGCGGCTTCAACAGCGTCGCCGGCGGCCGCGGCAGAAGCGCCCTGGCCCGCGGCAGGTGAGGATCTCCGGCCTCTGGGCTGGGGGCTGACAGGCTGGATGCGGCGGGATCCTCGGAGGGATCCTCGGAGGACCCACCTGCTGGCAGCGGAGCCGGTGCGTCCCGAGGCCGGCGTCTGGTTGCGCGTGCGGGGCCTCGGAACGGGGCGCGGGCCGGGCGCCCTCGGTGCATCGTCGCCGCCGCAGCCCCTCGGTTCCGCTCTCCCTCCCGGGCGGTCGGCCTGGAGCCTCGTGCGGCCCCGGAGCTGCGGGACTTCGGGGTGGGAAAGTGCAGTGGAGTGTGCGCGTGCAGCGGGGACAAGAGTTGAGGGCAGGACCCGGCGGCAGGAGGGCTGGTGGTGGCGCTGCCTCGGGGCAGGTAGGGCGGGGGCCGCTTGCTGGAGGGGGACTAAGATGTGCCCGAGGTACCAGGGAAGCGAGCCCCCGCCTCCTCCCAGGCCTGGGTTTCCTCCATCACCAGGAAGCGGCGAGTAGGATCCCCTTTCCCCCGCCGCGCGCCCCCAGGTGGGGTCTCGGATCTCTCCAGGTGTGCCAGGTGGTATCTGGAAGGCATGGCGTTAAGTGATGGCAGTGGTACGCTTCCCGCGCCCGCTTTCATTTCCCGAAGCATTGCGATCCCAGGAGCGCATACACGGCTTACATTCGGCTTTAGTAAATAGCAGTAGATACTGTTATCTTCTTTGTGCCTGCCATCTATTTTGCTGTTGTGCTTTTGCTGCCCGACAAATTATTTGATAAAAGATAAAGAATGACACAGTTGTTCACTGGAATGCAAAAATCTAAATTTAGAATCAAGTAACACACGTTTTGTGGTTCAGGCCCCTTTCTCTTCGGAATGCCTAAAGAATAGTTTTACTAACAGGTTATGGTGACATAGGTTCCTTTAATCCCCCAGTGTAAATTGTAAGACATGCTGGACGATGGGATTATGTAAGGTGTATAAAAGAAATCTTTATGCTCTGTAAGTGGAAAAGGCATGAGTTTTTCATAATTGTGGGTTATAAAGTTGTGCAGGCTTACGTCATAGTGTTCATTGATCTGGGGTGTCATGAATCCTGCCTTGTATTCTTTCAGGCATCTCTGTTTTGTCTGTGGGATGCTGATTAAGGAATATGCCAAATGTTAAGCAAAGTGTTCTCAGCCATGGAACATATGGGGTATTTCAAAGAACACTTTAAAAACTTAGTTCTTGTATTGCTGGGGGTTTTTTTTTTCCTTTTAAGGTGCAAGATTGTTAAATTTGTTAACGAAACAGATTTTTCATTCTGAGGTCTGGAGTTGAAAGTTTTTTCGCCTTTGGAGCATGAAGGAATGGCGAGTGGTGAGGGTAGCCATTACCTTTTCGTTTAAACATTGGGCTGTGTTAAGTGACAGCCTAGGACAGTCTTAAGGTAAGGTCGATATTTAAGTGTTCACATATGTGGCTGCTGATAAAAATGTAGGTCACCTGTGTCTAATGAGCCAGCCCCGCAGCTGCCTGAGGTGTTTTAAGGACACATGGTTTGTTCTGTTTGCTCCCCTCTGGAGATTTCATTAACTTGTTCGTCACGATGAGGCTTAGTTTGGAAACTGATTTTAAATGTATAGCTGCATTCCTGTGGAGTAGAACACTTTTTTTTTTCCCTTGTGAGATGTCAGAACGTATTAGTAGAATTCTTTCTAAGTATCTTCTCTCAACAACTTAGGTCCAGTATGTAATACTCCATGTGTTTCTTAGGTGTTATGGGTGTCGTATACTTTGGTGTTAGAATTCATTTTGTCTCCATGCATTTATACATTTATATAGGCTTCCTTTGTGTTTAATAGAAACTTTTTTTTGAGGTGCGGAGTGTTTTGAGACAGGGTTTCCCTGTGTAGTCCTGACTGTCTTGGAACTCCCTGTGTAGTCCTTACTGTCTTGGAACTCACTCTGTAGACCAGGTGGGGCTTGAACTCAGAGAGCAGCTTGCCTATGTCTCTTGAGTGCTGGGATTAAAGGCATGCACCACCACCACCTGTCTTCATAAAAAATTTTAAACTAAGCCGGGCATTGGTGGCACACGCCTTTAATCCCAGCACTCGGGAGGCAGAGGCAGGTGGATCTCTGTGAGTTCGAGGCCAGCCTGGTCTACAAAGCGACTTCCAGAACAGCCTACAAGACAATACAGAGAAACCCTGTCTCAAAAAAACCAAAAAAAATTTTTTTTAAACTAATGATAGTTTAGACATGATTTTGCATGTCTCTGCTTCCAGATTTATGTCAGCCGGATATTCTAATTATGAGCCCCCCTCCCAGAACAAAATCCTTTCTGAAGCAAAATTGCGAACAGAAAGTGAAGAACATGTTTGTATAATGTCACACCAGGCTTCAAATTCTAAATTACACAGTTTGCTGAGATACTGCCCCAGTTCTTAAAATCAAAAATCAAAAGTCATTCATTATTGAGTGTTTTGTTGAGTTACTAGACTAGGGACTTTTTGAAATTTAAAATTATTGGATTACCCCCCCCATGAGGATTTTGATTGTGAGCAGTCAACATGGGTATGGTTGGGAAATGAGTAAGTTTGGCCTTAGCAAGGGTAACTTGGAGAACCTCTTAGGAACCCTCGTGCTCAGGTAATAACAAGAAGCACTGCAATGGAATGCTGTACTTCTAGAATGTTACATGGAAATTAGAGCTTCTGGCTAGAGAGAATAACAGACATTCTTTGTTGGGGATTCAGGAGTGAGGGATTAACCAAAGGCTATAGGAAGTGGGAAATTTGTTTAGAGTTGCGTGTTTGGACTGTGAAATTTTCTGTGTGTTTTGCGATTTATACCATAATAGACTTGTGCTCCCTGTAGAATAGAAAACATTTTTTTAAAAAATCTGCATTTTTCTGTTGAGCTGAGTTAACACTCTGAAAAGCTCTTCTGTTTCGTTTGTACAGCACCCTGTAGCCTGTCTACCCCGATGTGGTGTAAACAGTCAATCTGTAGCACAAAAAGTGGCAGATAACTTTTGATACATGACTTTAATCCCAGCACTCGGGAGGCAGAGGCAAGCAGATTTCTGTGAGTTCGAGGCCAGGCTAGTCTACTGAGTGAGTTCCAGGGCAGCCAGAGAAACACAGTTTCAAACAACAACAACAAAAAAGAACTTGGAGGTTGGTTTCTCATTGGGTTTATTTCCCTATGTGTAAAATAGGGTTTGTACTGTTGGCCCTATAAGGAATTAGTGGAGGTTTAAGTCAAGCGGTGGGCCCAGAAGGGAGGAAGAAGCAGGTAAATCACAGCTGCTATCATCACCATCATTCTTTGTCGTTTATCCCTGTGGTCTTTCTTGGCTGGTGGAGATTTCCAGTGATTCCCTGTGCTGAAAAGTAGCTGAGGTGGTAGTTTGTGAATTGCCTGCGAACCAGGTGCTTTAATCAGGCACTGAGAGATTTGTCTCTTGGGTTCCTTAGTTGTTTTTGGAGGTGCATTAACTCACCCCACAAGAGGGTCATTTAGTGTACCACCAAGAACATCTTGTGGTGCTACTCCATCAATGCCGCTAGAAATCAATGCACATCTCAGATGGCCTGACATGCTCCCAGGGGTGAGGCCAGTTATGCATAGAGCGGACAGGGCAGTGGCTGGCTGCACTTGTTGGCTTGTTTTCTTTTTGATACAGTTGATATTTATTGAAAACCCATCTCGTGCTGGGCATTATGCTTAAGTATGTTTAACAGCATCATTTCTTTTTCAGTTCTTCGGAAATTTAGTTAGATAAGTAGTGACCTTCCCAATTTCTTAGTGAAAGCAATGTGATGGGATGGGCTGTTGCTGAGCGTGTGGGCTGGATTGTTACCTCCTCTGAATGCATAAATAGTTAAACTTTCTCTGTAAAACTTAAGATGAGGATATGCACCCGGGAGGCAGAGACAGATGAATCTGAGTTCGAGGCCAGCTGGTCTACACAGTGAGTTCCAGGATAGCCAGAGCTGTTACACAGAGAAAGAAATTCTGTCTCAGTACCTTGCACCCACCCCCAAAAAAGATGAGGACAAATAGCATTGATAACTGTAAATGTTTTTGTGATTTATGATGATATGGGGGAGTCAGGACCAGTTGCTTTATTTCACGGATGGAACTTGAGGTACGGATGAAAAGAGTCACACTGCATGCGTGGGAGTGGGGGTCATAGGGGGGTGGGGGATGACGCATGTAAGTAATGTCAGAGCTGGATCTGGGATCCAAGTATCTTGACTTTTCAAATCATTATAGTCATACACTCTTCTGTTTTTATTTTTATTTTTAGTCATTGCTTGTTATTATGCAGCAGAATAAAACTGGGGTGTATGACCTCGAGGCTCAGTTGTTAAGAGGTCTCTTTGGGAATCTGTGAACCCTACAGCTTCCCCCTTTAAATGAGCAACCATAATTTTTTGTCTTTTCCACAGACAGAACCAATCAGTTTGAAACTTTTCTCCTTGAAGGGAAAAGACCCTTACAATTCTGCTGTAGGAAATAAGAAGTTTTTATATGGGGGGGGGGGGGAAATGGTCTGCACAGATACAACTCAGCCTTGACAAAAGTCTGCTTCTAATGCTGAGTGATAAACGAAGAAACCTCTGCTTTGCATTATTTAGCAAGTTTTCCTTTCTCTTCTCTACCTGACAGGAAGAAGAAAAAGAAGACGCCCCCAGCCTGTGAACACTGCGAAGACAATCTGGACTAGCGGTACCTGCTGTGTTGCTCGCTCGCTGCCTGAGACCTTCTGCCTGGCATCTGAAACGAACCTTGCTCATCAATTGCTGCCTTTGGACCTGAGCCCGGTACTCTGGGTTCTGTTGACTTGTGGCTGAGGAGAGACTGGCCTTGCTTGTCGTCACCAGCGTATGAACCAGTGTGATGGTGAAATGAGATGAGGCTCCGAAATGGAACTGTAGCCACTGTGTTAGCATTTGTCACCTCGTTCATTACTCTGTCCTGGTATACCACGTGGCAAAATGGGAAAGGTAAGGGGGAGGTCCCTGGAACGATGGTGGCCGACAGCGTGTTCTGTGCCAGAATGGTGGGCCGAGCGGAAATGCTTCGGTGAAATTGCTAAGCCTGTGTGTTGCATTCTTCTGGTAGCTTCTTTTGATACAGAAATGAAACTGTCCTTAGTGTGCACCACCAACACCCAGCTGTTTATTTTATTTTTAGTTTTTTCCTCTTTTCTGCCATTGATTTAAGAGATTTTGATAGTAGAAAGATCAGTAGTGCTGAGGTGGCTTTGTATTTATTGTTAGAGCTGTCTTTATCACCTGGGGTATTTGAAAGCTTCTGTTGACATTCTTACTGACCTGTGAAGACAATTGAAAAGGTTGCTTTCTGACTAATACTTTTTCTGCTGTATCTATATACCTGTGTTAGTGATACATGTCTCTGTGGGCATATACACATTTATACACATTTGACTCGTAGCTATGTGCATCTGTTTGTGCAAAGTAAGTAGATGGACATGAGACGCTCGTGCTTCATGCTGTGGTCGAGCCTGGCATTCTTTTCCTACTTTCCGTTTTTCTCTGAGTCGCATTCTACTTTAGGGGGCACTGGGGAGATATAGGTGAAAAATTTGCTAAAGGGCAAGTTCTTTAGGTTTACTTTTTAGGTTTCAGCTTACATTTTTATCACTTAGTTACTTACTTGTGTGTGTGCTACCTTGGTACCATTTGGATGTCAGAGGACAGCTTCCAGGCGGGCTCACTCCTTCCACCATGGGTCCTGGGTATTGAACTCAGGTCATTAGGTTTGAGGGCAAGCACCCTCATGCCCTGAGCCTGCTCTCTGGCTTCGTTGTGGTTTTTGATCGCACCTAATGAGAGGAGTTAATTAGGAAGGCTCTTGAGTCAAAGTGATGATTGTTCTTGACATAAATAAAACAAATGACTCATTGTTGAGAAAACTGACAATAATAATAACTAGGTACTTGGGGTTTTTTCTTTTCTTATCAGGAAACTTACCTATTCAGAGAGCTTGAGTAATACAGAAACTCAGCTCGTCCCACTGTGTCTTGTTTTAGAATCTCTGCTTTTAATCTCGTTTCTTAGGTAAAGGCATTAGCGGCATTACTAGTGGTTTTTTTTTAAAGCTCCATCAATTATGATTTATGATTATATGATTATCTATCACATGGAGAGGACCTGGGTGGGTAGCGGTGCCTTCGCAGTGCAATACTGTGTGCACAGTCTGTCTCTTGACTGTCGCTCTTCGAAGGGCTCTGCAGGCTTCCCCATGCTGTTTTACTGCTTTGTGATTTGTTTGGGTGCAGGGGTCAGTCCAGGCCTTCTGTTTGCTTGTGTAAAATCCCCTGTGTTGATTGCTATCGTTTATGTAACCGTTCTAACTGTTGGGTGTTGGATTCTCTCTGGTTAAGTCAGTGAGACAGCCTGGATTTCCCAGGGCAGACCTGATACCACATATTCCATCTAGTATTTCCAGGAACAATGTGCTCTGGTTTTTATTTTGAAAGTGTGATTTCTAAAATCTTTAACACTACTGGATTAACTGAAGCATATTTTTTTTTCCTTCACTCTTGGTGAAGGAATGTATGTCCTTACATACACCGGTCCTGTGCCTAGCACTGTATTACAAGCCATGAATAAGAAAGAGAAGAGTCTTCATGCCTTTGAGCAGGGATTGGCAGGAAAGATGATGTCAACAAATTATGGAATTATCAGCTAGAGGAGGCAGAAGCAATAATGGTGCTTGTCCTACTTCAGGTCTGTTAGTCACTTAATCCTCATCCTCTGGAATGTTGCAGTCTCTTTTCTGTAGTTGGAGACATTGGCAGAGTGCTTGGGACACTTGTCAAGGCCATGCATTCATTCTGTAGTATAGCTGGTTGGGGTTGATGTTCGTAGCTGTAGGTATGTTCCCCAGGAGAGTGGGGGCAGAGGCTCATGATTCTCCATGGTGCTCTATAGAGTAGATAAAATATGAAAGCCAGGCCAGGAAGTGGGGCGTATCAGGTGCAGGACTGACTTCTGAAAGAGAATGGAGCATGTATGCTCTGTAATTAGGAACTGCTCATTTTTGACAGGCACATGGGCTTCCGAGGTTGGCTCAAGCTGACATTGGAAAACACAGTGTACATTTTTTTTTCTTTTGAGACAAGGTTTCTCTGTGTAGCTTTGGAACCTGCCCTGGAACTAGCTCTTGTTGACCAGGCTGGTCTCAAACTCACAATGCTGGGATTAAAGGCATGTGCCACCACCACCCAGTAACAGTGTACATCTTAAGGGGTGCCAGTTTGGAATAGTCTATGTTCACTACTTGGAAGAATCAGAGCTAGGTAGCCCATGACATTGGCATAGGTTAAGGAAGCTGAGATTCAGGGCAGGGAGCCAATTCAGCAGGGCATACTAGATTCCCACATAAAAATGAGAGAGAATTCCAGGTACGTGGAACGGTCAGGCTGGGAGAGTTGTAGGCGGGTGTCGGGAGAATGGGTCCAGAACAGTTCAGTGTGTGATGTGCTGGTGTGAGTAGGATGCCATTGAACTTTCTCCATGGTCAGACACAGTGCAGAATCAGGAAAACCATCCCTGTATCCCTGCATGGGGGTGATTCTGTGTCCACACACCTGATGACTCAGGGCACATGCTCAGCACACCTCTAACACACCGTGGTTGCTTCAGCAAGAATGAATGTGGAAAAATTTAAAACAGCCTTATTGAGTTATAGTTTACATGCTAAACAGTTCATCCACTGAAAGTATTTATAAACAATTCATTTTTTAAGGGGAGGGGGTATCTACACACAGATATGTACATAAGTTACTCTGCTGGGGTGGGGTGCTGAGTGATAGGGGATTTGCCCAATATGTATGAGGCCATGGGTTCTGTACTCTTTAGCTGTTATCACTGTACCTCTCTTCTCTGTCTTAGGCTATCACTGATCTATGTCTGTCTACAGATTTCCCATAGCAGAACTTGTGCTTAATGGAATTGTGTAATGTATAGTCTTTTGTGACTGTCTTTTTTCAAATTAGCATGCTTTCAAGGTCCAACTGTGATGTGGCATAGATCTACCCTTAATTTCTTTTTTCACATGGATAGTGTTTGTCTGTGTGCGTGCGTGCGTGCGTGTGTGTGTGTGTGTGTGTGTGTACGTATGTGTACAGGTGTGTGTGTGTGTGCGCGTGCGTGCGTGCGTGTGTGTGTGTGTACGTATGTGTACAGGTGTGTGTGTGTGTGCGCGTGCGTGCGTGTGTGTGTGTGCGTGTGTGTACGTATGTGTACAGGTGTGTGTGCGTGTGTGTGTGTGTGTGTGTGTGTGTACAGGTGTGTGTGTAGGGCAGAGGTTGATGTCTGTATCTTCAGCTATTAATTTCTACCTTTTTTTGTTTTTTTGGTTTTTACGAGACAGGGTTTCTCTGTATTGTTTTGGAGGCTATCGGTCCAGCCCAGCCTCGAACTCACAGAGATCCGCCTGCCTCTGCCAAGTGCTGGGATTAAAGGCGTGCGCCACCACCGCCCGGCCTTAATTTCTACCTTTTTTTAAAATTTATTTTTATTAGCTGGGCGTTGGTGGCGGATGCCTTTAACCCCAGCACTTGGGAGGCAGAGGCAGGTGGTCTACCCAGCAAGTTCCAGGACAGGCTCCAAAACAATGCAAAAATTTGTTTCAAAAAAACAAAAACAAATTTATTTTTATTTATGTGTCTCTGCGCTGTGTATATGTGCACACGCATGTGGGTGCCTTTTGATGTCAGAAGACGCCATTGGCTCCTTGGAAGCTGGAGTTACAGGTGACTGTGAGCCACCTCACATGGGTGCTAGGAATGAATTCTGATTTTCTGGATGCGCAGTAATGCTCTAATAACTCTAGCTACTAAGCTGGTACTCTTTATTTTTTGAGTCAGGGTCTTTCATGGGCCCTGTTTTGGCTTGACTGGATGGCCTGCAAGTCTCAAGGATCCATCCGTCTATTCATCTCCAATGCTGGTGTTATAGGCACTGTTACAATGCCTGGCTTTTATGTGGGTTTTGGAGATTCGAACTCAGGTTCCCAGGCTTACTGAGAAAGCACTTTGCCTACTGAGCCATCTTGCCAATATCTAGTGATGTTTCTTTATAGGAATGTCCGCTGTCAAAGTGACTGAGTCATTATATGTTCTTTTATTTATTTTCAAGATGGGGTTTCTCTGTGTAGCCCAGGCTGTTCTAGAACTTGCTCTGTAGACCAGGCTGGCCTCAGGCTCAGAGATTCATTTGTCACTGCCTCCTAGTCACCGTTATGCATTATTATTTCATTGTTTTATTATCTGGGTGTGTTTTTGAAGCTACAATAGGTCTCCTGAAGACGGAATATGATTAGATCTTTTTCATTCATTTCAATTACTTTTTAATTGATTTGTTGGTCCACTCATTTCTAATGTTATTGTTGATATAGTTAGATTTATTCTATTTTTGTGTTTTTCATATTTCCTGTCTTCTTTTTCCTCTACTCAAATTGTTTTTCTCTGTGTAACCCTGGCTCTTGTGTCACCACTTCCTGGCTGTTAACAAAATTCTAATGTAGAATTTAAAATTAATTTATGATTTTATTTTTAGTTTTTTTTTAGCTTATCAAAATCAGCTTTAGACTTTATCTTAATTCTAATCCCATATAGAAATGTTACTCCTTGGCCGCTCAAATGGTTTAGCGGGTCAAAAGGCCTTGCCACACAATCCTGGTGGGCTGAATTCAATCCCTGGACCCCGGATAAAGGCGGGAGGAACCAACTCTACAAAGTTGTTCTCTGACCTCCCCGTATCATCCACTCACATGTACACAAATAAGAAATGCTACTCCTCGATACCTCTTGTTTCCTTTTACCCCTTTTTCCTGATGTTACTATTACACATATTTACATATCTATTTATGTTCCAAACCCAACAACGTGCTGTAATTATACTCTCACATCTGCCATTATATATTATTGTAATTATATTTTTACCATCTGTCTTTACTTCCTTAGCCTGTGGAA